ACATTAACTCATTATCATTATCTAGAGGCTCTTATCTATTTATTTTTCTTGTATTTACATTGAGGCTGAGTTTTTCAACAACGTGCTACTAAAACATGAACCATTAACATGAACATCTGTAACAGTTTTTGTTCATCAGATGTGTCTGGACAGATAAAATGTTTCTGGAAATGTGATATTGGACATACATTACTCATAATATGTCCTGTAAAATAGTTTCATAGACATGCTGGTTTGATCCTGATCAATACAAGAGAGCCAGCACAGTAGTGTTTATACATATTAAACCAGTTTATGCATTGAAATTTGTTTGGGGACTTTTGTAAATACAGTTCTCTAAGAGGTTCTGCAATACCAATTCTATTGGCTCTGGAGTTTTAAAGCAGTTTACGTGTATATAAAGTTTGCTGCTGAAAACATTTGATGCTGACATGTGTGCATGAACGTATCACATCTCTAATGTCTGGCTTGATGCTTCATAAGTCAAACACTGTTTGATGTAAGTCATGATGACGGGGATGTTTTTGTTTTTTTTCTTGTGATCTGAGTTTAAGTTTGGAAGACACCCTGCAGCTGTTAAACTATACGGTGTTACAGCTCCAGCCAGATATTCATGCATGTAGACAACACAAGCCTCCCTGGAGTTATGCAAAATAGCAAGATAGAGAGAGCAGGAGAAACAAAAACTGCTCAAGGACGTACAGTGAGATAGCAAAGCAACAGGCAGAGCAGACTCTAGAAATGTAAGGAGCTGGAGCTTTGTGGTGTTTTTTTTTCAGCTGTTTCTCTACATTAACTCATATAGTGCACACATTGCAGACAGAGTGTCTTGCACAGTCTGCACTCATCTGACAGTGTTTTAATGCATTATTTTACACACGTCAAACTGACATGATAAAGACAGGAGGTGCATGTAGGCATGCACAAGAAGAAGAACGTTTGGAAGTGATTGTTTGGCGGATTTAATTGTTTGAAAACTCTGTGTTGTGGCCAGAATGAAAGGTGAGCAGAGTGGCCGGCCGGTGCAACGTGTGGATGTATAGTTGAATGGCTTGGTTGCACGACCAGTTGGCCGTTTGGCTGGCCGGCCATCGATCCAGTGTCTGTTGAGCAAACTGTGAATGAAAGCATTTGCTGTGGGTCACTGGCCAGCGATGAGCCCATCTGAGCGTCCACTTGTGTGTGTGCACAACTGACATCCCTTTGCATATGCGATTGGCTGTGGCTCAGTGCTCACAGAGCATCTGCAGAGCTGGAAGTTTTTCTTCTGTTCGAAAGAGATGCTGCACTGACCAGCTGACACTGCTCACACATTCCTTTGCCTTATTGCCTTATCTCCCGCTCACCAACACACAGGCGTGCACGACTAAGTGAGTGCACGACTAAGTGAATGCACGACGCGGATATGATCGATAATGTGCTTACAATCAAAGCACAAACTCTTCTTAAATTGTGTGTGTGTGTGTGGACCCCCGCATGTCAGGCCGAGCATAAAGAAAGAATAGCGGGGATGCTGCGTGTGTTTGTGCGTGGCTGGTATGTGAGCCTGGCTTACAGAGAAAGAGCCTGGGGTTCTTATCTGACCTCTCCCAGGACGACCTTTCACCCCTCCAAGACAAGCCTTTTGTGTCCACTGAGCGAGAGCCCATGGGAGAGCGTGTGTGGGTGCCTGTGTGTGTGTGTATGTGTGTGCGACCGTGCATGTTTGTGTGCATGTGTATTATAAGTATAGGCCACATCAAAGTCTTACTTAAACATTGTTATCTGGACTCACCTTTGTCCTCGCGGTCATGAGACATCCCTCAAACTAATACACCCATGCCCTCCAAAGCAGAGAGTTTACGTGTGCGTTTGCATATATAAGGAGGCACATTTAGGGGTGTGCAGGGCTTAAGTTTAACATTACTTTTTTTAAAGATTGCATACTAGCAAAATGTTCTCCTTACTTGCTTACAGATTTTCTAAACGGCGAAGATAGACGAGGTAATGATAGATGGCTCTCTTCTTTTGTTATTTAAATCCAGCAAGGTCCAACTTAACATTTTTTAATAGGCCTCAGAAATAAATGTCTAAATCCTTTCAAGTGTTAAAATACATCGTGTGGTAGTGTAGTCAGAGTTTAGAGATCCTAACTACAGGTTTGTATGTGTGAGGTTCTGCGTTTGAGGGTGGTGGTGGTGGTGGGACGGGGGTCCAAGGGGTCATAAAACACCACAATAGTGTCTCTCTCCCCAGGGTGAAAGAGAGGCAGAAAGAGAAGAAGAGGAGGAGGGGGAGATGAAAGGATCTCCCACTTCCACGTCAAGGAGAGAGGAAGGAGGGGGGAGATGGGAGGAGAAAAGATCAACAAAGCTTCCTTAAAAGTTTTACTTACGGCTTATGTCTGTCATCTCTTCTGCATGTCTTCCTTTGTGTCTTTTGGTTTTAGAAGCACTATCAGGTATGGAACGGGGATTTTTTAATCATAAATACAGGATCTGTAACTCAGCAAGAGTACATGTGCACCGACAGATTAAAGATGGAGATGAGCCTTTTGACTTAACAATACAAATCCCAGCACAAAGTTCCTTTGTGTGCTTTAAGGCCTTAGACTTTAAAAAGCACAGGGGCTGACGTTATAGTAACCGCATGCATTTAGCTGCATGTACCGTATCCCCTAACGATACATGCATCTCTTGGATGTTATACAAAAATGAAACAAATCAAACAAGGAAAAGCTTGTTTTAATTTGATTATACCGACAGTGCGTGGATATTTGATTACCAGCTTGTCAGAAGTGTAGGATTTTGGTTAGCTTTCCCTAAAAGGTGGAATACACCTCTCTGCTTTAATCTCCCCATTTCCCGCCCTGTCTCTTCGTTCTCGGATTGTAAAAACATCAGTCTGCTCTTTGGTAGAAGGTGTGATTACTTCCTCTCCGTGCCGACTGTGTTATGACAGGGCTTTTTGTCTTCCACCCTCTGTCTCTCTGCAAGGTGGTGCAAGGCATTAAAAGTCTGCGCCGCTTCTTTACAAAGCGCCGAGGAGGCAGAAGGTGGCTGCTGAGGTGTGTGTGAGAGAGAGCGAAGTCACAAGACGTGGCCCGTTAACATCCTCATTTGGAGCTTTATTTTGGAACGGACAGATGTTTAGAGAAAGCCTAACCAGTGTAGCTGCTGGCATCTGTGGCTGATGTTGGATTTTTTTTTTTTTTTTTTTGGCAAAGATCAAGGAAAAAGTAAGTTCTCTTAAGGTCGGAAAAGTAAATAAATTCCACAGCTATGCACAAGGTCATTTTTGCTCGTCAGGGAAAGTTAATGAGGGAAGTAGTCCGTCTATAATTTGATTCAAATGAAATAACATTTGAAATGTTGGGCTGTTTTGTTGAGAAATGTGGATTCTGGAAAATGTTGATCTGCTATAATGGCTTTCACTAGCAAGGACGGCAATTTTGCCCTACATCTCTCAGAATTAGATGTCATTATCTCTAATTGAAGAAGGTTTGTTTTTGTTTTTGCAGTAATGGTTTTATTATGTGTAGTTTTGTAGTTTTTAGTCACTGTATCCATCGACCCAAGGTACCTATACACTCAGGTGGTGTTAGACTGATTCTGTATCAACCCAGTCGTTAAAGATTACTATTAAATTCAACAGTAATCCCTTACAGTTGTTCATTGCACACAACCTAAATGAAAGGTCTGTTTTTTGTTGTTTTGAAGAGCAGATGTAACGATTTCCTCGGCTCTGTTGACTTTTGCTTAGATATTTCCTGCTAAAGGATGATGACCCAGGCAACAATTTCTTTGTTTTGAAATAAATGGGGCATATAAATGTTTTTGCTGGGATGTAAGTGCATTAGTCTGCATCTTTGGAGACAAAGCTGTGAGAGAGACCAAAAGAAAGCTCTGTTTTTTCTATGTGCATTTGTTTTTTATTGAACTGCTATATTGTTTGACTTAGCTCCTGATCTAAAATGCTATTGTAAGCCTTGTGTTTTTGAAAGCTGTAGTGTAGTGTATAGCACACATGGGTTTAAGTCTGTAATCTGACAGGCTAGTCTTTTCATTAAGCTTGACCCCCAGGTTGCTGACTGATTCTCATGCTACCAGGTTTGTCAGTCAGTCATGTGTAGCTTCTTGTACGTCTGTGTGTGTGTGTGTGCGTTTGGCAGCCAGCATATGGACCGTCAGAGGTTTAGGGAAGGGGGATTAAGTTGGTGTTCACAATCCAGCTTTGTTATTTCCCTCCTCACTGAGCCAGTTTGTTCACTGCACAGCAATTGGCTCTGATTGCAAGTCTCCATCTTTGAAAATGTTTTAATTGTTCTTACATTTAGTATAATTATTTCATGCAATTTTTTAATACCGTAAACATTTCTCATCGTCAGTATTTCATCCTAATGGTAGGATGAGAGGAGAAGAGGAGCGGGAAGGAAACCAGAGCAAGAGCGATGCACTTGGAGAGAAAGTAGAAAAACAGAGGGAGGGAGTAGCGTCTAGGTCAGGGTGTCCTGACTCTGTCAGTGCAGCTGATTTTATATTTTGCTGTCTGGACAGATGCCATCTTCCAGAAACCACTGTTTGTGTGGGCCTGTGTTTCTGAACTGGAATTTTTTTGTGTCTGTTCAGTGCATAAGCGTGGATGTGGCTTTGTGTGTGTGAGTTCGTGACTTGACATTATTAATTTGATCTTAACGTTAACAGGCTGAAGCATTTGAAAAACAGGAAACTTTGAATCCGTTCCATCTGTTGCCCCTTTTTTATCTAAAATACATTGTTGGTCATTTTATTTTGATAATAGAAAGCAGTCTATTTTTCTTGTTTCCTTCTAAAACTAACACCACTTTAATGCTAAATAGGACTAGATAATAGAAATGCTACTAAATCTGTATTTACAGTATCTGAAAGCAGAAAACTCTGAGTTAGGATCAGGGCCTAATGCAAACAAGAACAAACTACCATCAGCTTGCAAATGTCTTGTGAGTATCCAACACAAAGTTTCTTTGTTTTTGCAGGACACCAATGGGGAACTCTTATGCGGGCCAGCTGCGGACCACGCGCTTCGAGGAGGTCCTCCATAACTCCATTGAGGCATCGCTGAGGTCAAACACCGTCGTGCCTCGACCTGTTTTCTCACAGCTGTACCTCGAGACAGAGCAACCATTGGCACACGATGGTGAGTTGCATTGTAGCGGAAGAAGTGATGCAGGGTTCAGTAAAAGGATTTGACTGATTCTTCTATTTCATTTGTAAGCAAATCACCCAATAATGCTTTTTGTGACACTTTCCCGCCACCTTAAAATAGAATGGGTTTTTTTCTGTCTCCAACAGGCCGTACAGAAAATGATGATGAAGACGATGAGGATGGCTCAGAGTCTAACAGCCCTCCAGTACCCTACCAGATGAAGCCCCCACCTGAGGGATGTTGCACCACAGATGGTATGTACACATTCACATATACAAATGCCATATGTACCTGCTGTATGTCCTGGAGGTGCAGTTTTCCCAACAAAGTGGGTTGTACATGCTCCGGGAGTCAGTTTTGTGTGAAAGACTGTCAAGTGCTAATGCTCTTGAGGTCAGCTGTCTGCACTCTGCCTCTTATCACTCTTCTCATTTATGCTGTAATTAGGCAAGATTACTTTTTATTTTACTACTGAATGTTCTTGTGAAAATGTTCTTTTCCCTGTTTTGTCCTCCCCGCAGGCTTTTGTCAGGCGGGCAGGGACTTGCGTTTGTCCTCACTTGCCTCAGATCCCTTGGACGTGCCCCCTGGGTTCATGTTAGTTGGCGTAAAGTCTCCTGCCCTCCCTGAGAACCTGCTGGTGTGCGCTGTGGACCGCCGCTTTCTGCCAGACGAACGGGGACGCAATGCTCTGCTGGGTAAGGCAGAGGACTTACACGGGAAAATATCATGTTTGTTGTTTGCCGTTTGTTTACAAAGTCACAAATGACTGCCCTCAGTTTTGCTTGACAATACTTTTTAATGTTATCCAGTTAGTTACATGCATGTGGCTGTGCAATCAAACATTTTCTCCATGTGTGCTCCCTCCAGGCTTCTCTGGAAACTGTATGGGCTGTGGAGAGAAAGGCTTCCGCTATTTCACAGAGTTCTCCAACCACATTAACCTGAAGCTCAGCACCCAGCCCAAAAAACAGAAGCACTTGAAGTACCATCTGTACCGAAACAACCAGGGCATGCTGGTCAAAGGGGCTCCCATCTGCTGGAGGGGAAACGGTAAGACATCGTTACGTGTACTGTAAGGCACTTGACAGCTGGACGGATTTTTCTAATATTAATGTAGCACAAATACTGAATTCATAGAGTATAGGGACTTTTTGCTGTACTTTAAAGGCCACTGTGGTGCTGCTTTCAGAGTGACTATCAAAACAATATGCTCAGTTTGTCCACGATCAGATTCAGATTGTGTGTGCACATTGATTCACCACTGTGTTCATTTTAAATGAAACTGCCCAAAAACCCGCTCCTCCTCACAAATACATGGTGCTAGTCAAGTTTGACTGCCTAAAATACAACCCACAAAAGGCTCTGATGCAGATGTTTTGCTTTTTTTCAATGTATGCTTTATTACTACATTCTGTCATGCACAAATTAGCAGCAGTTCAATAGATTGTGTACAAGAAGCACACAGGAAGTGTTGTGTAAGTTTCTGTGTATTGTGTATTGTGTCACTTCACTTCACTCACATTAGAGACTACAAATGAAAAACAGTCTTCACATGACTACACTGATGATCTAATTCTGTGAAAGAAAAGGCCTTCAGATGTGCATACATGTCTGGAAGAGACAGGAGTTAATCCCACTCCACATCATTTGCATTATTGCCATAATTAGAATTGGAATAAAGCAGTACTTTAGGCCATGCATGGTTTACTCATGTTGATCTGAGCGCTATGAGTGTATGACCAGATGGACAGATAGCGAAGCCTTAAGGACAGGTGAAAGGTGAGACTGCAGTGTACACAGAGGCCACAGCCTGGAGGTAACCCAACAAAATGTAATGATGTGAAAGGACGTGAAAAGGCCTGTGTTGATGGACACGAACAATAGAGACGGTGTGTCTTTTGAAAAATTGTGTTTTCTTCCTGCTGGTTCCACCTTTTTTTCTTATTTTGTTAGTGCTTTAGTTTGGGCAGGAGAGAGGGAGGCTTAAGAAGAGAGATCAGAGCTTGGGCTATCTGTGGTTACAATATTACTTGTCAGATAATCTCTTAATCCTCTTTTTCAAAGCATGCAGAAGTGTTGATATTAAGGAGTCTGGAATATACAACATGCTCACTGATTAAGCCCTTTACCAGGAAAAAAGGTTTTGCCCAGGCAGCAGTCTGTGCTCTTCATTTACACAGAAGAAAGCCCAGAGCTGAAATGCATCAGTTTCATGTTGTCGCAACAGTAAACGTGTTACGTACTTATTGTGAGTGGTGACAACTTTGTGTACTATTTTGTGCTAATAATGTGACGTAAACTGAACCAGTGCAGGTGAGTCAAGGCTGTGGACAGTAGGATATCTTGTTTTGACTCATTTTTCACAAAAATATAAAACATACACTTTTCCCAGAGCATTGTTTGGTACAAGAGGTATAGATTGTGGGGTTGTGCAGATTGAAACAAAAATAGTGTCCATCAAACACATCCATCCATCATCCATTATCTATACACCACTTCATCCTCACGAGGGTCGCGAGGGGCTGGAGTCTATCTCAGCTGACTCAGGGTGAAGGCAGGGGACACCCTGGACAGGTCACCAATCTGTCACAGGGCTACACTTAGAGACAGACAACCAAGCACACTCACATTCACACCTACAGACAATTTAGAATCACCAGTTAACCTCAACATGTTTTTGGACCTTATGGGAGGAAGCTGGAGAACCCAGAGAGAACCCACGCTGCATGGGGAGAACATGCAAACTTGACGCAGAAAGATCTTCTAGCTGCAAGGCGACAGTGTGAACCACCGAGCCACGTAACGGCTCTAAACACATGCAGTTAGTTTTAAATTCCTTTCAGAAAAGTGTTTGACTTCCCTTATTTCTCCCCCTCTGCTGCAGGGCTTTCTGATTTACTGTAACACTCATGGGCTGAGTAGTAGCATTAATCTTGTCCCAGAGCCGATTTTAAGAAGCAGGCTTATCATGTCTCTGGACAACTTTACAAAATTTTCAGACCATGATGTTAAGTCCTACACACTACTGCACACACAAGTTCCCAAATAAGTAACTACAATAACATTGCTATGCGTTTCTGTTTTGATAGATATCAATTTTCTTGTGTGTTTTAGATGGCAGGATGAGGCCGATTGGTTCCAGTCTCTCTGAAGGCCACTTGACATCAGATGATCACCCGCCAAACTTGGCATCAACTCACCCATCACAGACCTCTGGCAGCTACACAGGTAACAAAACAAGCCAAGCTGATATTTAGGTTTGCACTGAAGATGGTTTGAGGTGCCATTTGTTTGTGTTGTCATGAGAGAAGAAGTAAATTAATAATTTCCAACAGACTACAGGTCTAGTTTGAACACAAGGCTGCGAAACGTCTTTGGTACTGCAAACGTTTGTTCCCAATCTGTATTTTACTTAAACAAGCTGTAATTGAAGGAGAGGGCATCGTGTTTTGTCTCAGAAATGTTGTAAATCGTTTTGTTTTTTTTCCTTGTGAATCTATAAATGGCAGGATCACATGTGGAGCCACAAATAGCTGACATCTCACACACGCTGGTCAATGGCAACCATGCTGTTCCCTCCATTGTCCAGCCACCTTCAAGTCAGTCCGGGCCTGGGAAACCCTCAGCTACAGGTACAGACTGTACTCACTGGTGACTTCAGCTCTTTATTCCAGTTTATATCCACAAGGATGTGAGTCTGTGTGACACTGTGACACATTATTTAACAGACTAACAGAGATTGTTGTGCTATGTTACTGTGTTTAAGATTATTTAAGAATGACAGTTGATCAGTAAAGAGGTTTGAGTTTGAGTACATGACATGTACACGGTTTTAGTTTTACTTCATGTTTATGTAGGATGTTAGGTTTCATGTTTTTATATGAGAAGGCACTTCACTCCACAAATGTGCCCGTTTACGTGTCGCAATTTCGTAAAAGGACCTGAAACAATGTGGGCAGTATTATTTCTGGTGAGGGAAAAGTGTCTGAGACAGCACTGTTTTCATTATTGCTTCTTATAGACAAGATAATATATATATCGTAAAGACAATCTCAAGTAAATTCACAAAACTGTTTGGTGAACAGCAACTTGCAAATATGTACCTGTGAAATATTCCAGTTCTAGTAAAAACAAAAATGTGGGTTTGGTTAAAGAGAATATCTGATTCATCACAATATAACTGCATGTAAACTGGTTCTTTAAAGTGTTTTCTAATATTGTAGTTCTTGTAATGTTGTGTTCTTCGATTTCTTGTTGTAACCCGATTTCTTACTGTTCCTGGGCTTCTTGTGTGCATGTAAACGCGGTCAGTTTGCGTCTGTTGTCATTAAGCCTCTTCCCTGGGTTTCTTCACACCTCTGAAAGGGAGAGCTCCTGCCACCAGCAGCCGAAACACTGTCTGTGTGAATGTGTGTGTTATAACACCCCTGCTATACAGGAGCCAGCCAGTCGCATTGTGTGTTGGGGGTAGTCCTTTGTTTTCCCTGCTTTCATTTGCCAACACTTGGGGCACTAAACTTCTCCCTCCCTCTTTTCTCTTCTGTCTGTCTTTCTCCCTCCCTCTCCCTCAGTCTGTCACCTCTATAAACCAGGGTTGTAAAATTCCCTCTCTGTCTCATCTTTTTTCCTGCTTTCTCTCTGAATGAAAAGCTTCCTTCCTGTCAATGTTGTTTTTTTCATGACCCTTTTAACAAGTGGACCTTTTATGTGTCTCCCTTATTACTGCATTTCAACAGTAACTTCAGAGAACAAGACAGGTTAATGCATGACTAAAATACAGCTCTTTTTCATTACTGTATCAACACAAGTCCATCCTGAAACATCATTTAGTGTCTGTTCTGCTGATTCGTCTGCTGTTATAATGAGAAAAGTGACTGTTGACAGGAAACTGTAACTAAAGCAAATCAAGTAATTAAAAAAAAAAGGCAATTTAACAAATGAAAACGGATGAACATCAATGCAAAAGTAGCAAATTCTGAGCAGCTTAAAGAAATTGTAAAATTGGAGAAAAAAGGTTATGTAACATTTTTTTGAAATTTTATTGATATACATTTTTACTAAATTGTAAAGATTTAACATTTTTAAGCTAATATGCTATGTGCCTTTTGCTTGTTTTCTTTTTTTAATCCTCCAGGGCCCCATGCGAATGCTGGTCCCCCTAAAAAGAGGCACAAGGGCTGGTCACCTGAATCATCCTCCAACAGTGTTCCAGAGAGCACTGTGAAGACTCCGCCATCTTCATCAGCTTTAACAACATCAGTGTCCTCTGTCATCACAAATGGAGGCAGATCAGGTACAAATGAGACACTAGACATAATAGTGAAGGAAATGATCACAGGAGATACAGAAAGATGTGGGTATGGTGACACACATCCATTTAAGTGTCAACAAGATATTTTTGTGCTGCTTAATGTGTGTCTGTGTGTGCTTTTTTAAATATAAGTGTATTTCTGTGCTCCTTTACTTGCTGTATCCAGAGACTGCCGTCCTGCAGACGTCATCGCTGGCATCCTCAACCCCACTTTCTCCCCCAGGGCTGCCTGTAACAGTGCCTGATCAGCTGCTACACATCTGCAGACTGCAACCTGTCATATTCAAAGGTTAGAAACACAGAGAGCTGCACTGTCACACCGACAGTACACGCACTTGTAGCCCACAGTTGCTGTTAAGTGTCACCAGATTATTTGTACCCGTGACACTCTAAATCATTATTGATCGTTTTTCACCCACATCTCAGTGCTGAACTTTCTCAAGCATGCGAGCAGATGAGTTTTTCAGTCACAACCCAACAGATGGTTGTTTTAGCTCGTGTCTCTTAGCAGGTTAGAGGTCAGCCAACACCCGAGGGTGTTTCTTAGCCTTTCTCAGCCTTTCTCAGCCAGTCCCCTGCCCTCTACCACTTTACCCCTTTGTGTCACCTGTCAACTCATCTTTCTGTTTCCTTTACTTCTTATTCTTCTGCCCTTCAAATTACCAACCAACCATCTTGCCATTTCCTGTGTTTTCCTCGTCCGGGTTTATGCATTCCATCCCATGTTATTCCCATCTCAACTATTGTCCCTGTCTCCTTTGGGAATAGGTTAAACTGAATTTTCCCACCAGCTGATCCTGTTCAACAACTGTTCTCTATTTTGGGTCAGTTTTAAGGATGAAAAAAACACAGTGTATCTGTAAACAGCAAAATAACTAAAATGTCATTATAGAATATCTCATTTCCTTTTCTTTCTTTTCTTTCTGTGTTGTTGTTACGATTATTTATTTATGTACTTTAAGAAAGCTACGTTTGACATTGGTGGCACTGCCGCTGACTATATCCATTTAAACTGTTTTTCCATTAGCTCCTAGTCAAACTCTCATGCTTTTTCCTTTTTCCTTTTCTTTTTTTTTCTTTTTATATTATAATGATTTAGTGGATGCTTTTGTCTAAACAAGCATACTTTTTTTCCCATCAACATACATTATTGAGAGCCATTTGGGTTTAGTATCTTGCCCAAGGACGCTGTACCATCAGCTGAAGGAACAGTCTTTTGCTCAGTGACCAAAGCTACCACCTGAACTAGAGTCAACCCCAACTCCATGTTATTCTGCTTGACTTCTATATGCTCATCCACTTTTGTGTGCACCTCTCATTTACACAGGTCATGGGCCTCTTCCTCAGCTGATTGGCAATGTGAATGAAGTGCTCGTCAGTTCTCTGCTCCAGAGTTGTTACCTGAGCTCACAAACGCTGCCCAGAGTCTACCAGCACTACGGGCCGTCACCCATTCAGCCGCTGTCCACTGAGATGCAGATTCTGCTGACCGTCTACTACCTGGTTCAGCTAGGTCAGTGTAAAAACCGACTTCCATAATCGTACCTGTAATCCGACGTAAGTGTTGTGTGAAAAAAAGCTCTAATGAATCTATATTTTCCTGTTGGTAAGCTAAAAACACATTCCATGAAACTGCTTTAATTTCTTTTAAATTAATAAATGTACAGTTTCATTCACCATACTGCCTGCATTGTTTTCTTTGTTTCACCAAGGCCCTGACCAAGTGCCCCTGATTGAGGACTTAGAGCAGATATTCATGAGGTCATGGAGGGAGTCCCACCTCAGCGAGATCAGACAGTACCAGCAGCCTCAAACACCAGGAACCCAAGGGAGGCACTTTGGCATTGAGGTCAGAAAAAACTCCAAATAAGTACTTGTATTAAAAAGTCACCCTATATAGCCACAGAGAGTATTTCTCTGTTTTTCTGTCATGAAGCTGATAAGTAAAGGGAGACATTAAATGATATCTTCTTTATGTATCCCTCTACAGAACAAACACTGATGAAAAGACAAAATATGATTGAGTAAGAAAATTTTCGCTCTGCCCCCAGACCCCCTCTACCTTGCCTGGGCTCCCCCAGCATCTCTCTTTACCTCCCCAGACCCAACAACCTCTGACCCCCAGTCAGCTTCCCTGGCTTGCCCAGCTGGCTGCGTCATCCTGCGGAGAGGGTGTTGTGGTTTTAGGGGAAGAAGTCGGATCTTTGGCTCAAGGCCTCCAGCAAACGTTCAGCAGGTTAATTGAAGGACGTCTTGAAAACACCAACTATGTGGTCGTCATTGTCACGTCACAAGGACAGGAGACACAGTCCTGTGTGGTAGTTACAGGTGGGAACTGTGGCTTTGTACCATACTGTATATGAGAATGTGAGGAAGTTGCCCTGGGAATTTAAATAAAGGAACAAAAGAGATTCTAATCCAGCATTTTTATGTGCCTGTGTTGCAGGTAAACATCAATGTCGTGCCTTGGCAGAGTCTATGTTTTCTCCCAGTGAGGGCCTAAAGGAAATCAACCACCAGCTCTCCGCTGGCGTTGCCCAGGAACTCATCCATTACTGCAATTCCCTCGGACAAGGTGAGTCTGCCTGTCTGACCGTATGGTAATGTGTGCTATAATCATAATTCATTAACACATGGTGTGTCTCTCTGTTTCTCAGATGGTGATATGGATTCCCTTCTGGACAGCGCCACTGTGGACAGCAACGAGCCATCTCCTTTATCCAGCAGCCAGGAGTCCGCTGAAGAGAGAAGTCTTAAAAGCACGCATAGCCCCAAAGACTCACACAGTCCGAAGGATTCACATGCACAGGGTTCAAAAGACTCACTCAGCCCTAAAGAACCAGCATCAAGTCCAAAAGACGCCTGCTCAGGTGAGACACACATGGGTTGAACTGTGTACAGTATATAGACCTATATGATTGTCAGTATGCCCTGACATTTGAAATAGAGCTTGGAAAAGATGATAATGTGCAGTTGTAATTTGTTATATTTTACAGTTTTGAGCCTCACATTTGTTGTATCACATACACTGAATTTAGAGTCGTAAATTGCACATATTCTGCCGTTTTTGCTGTTTGTATTATTTTATTTTATATTGTTAAATTTCCCCCAAAAATGAGCTGGGACCAGGACAACGACAATATGTTTTTAAAATCCTTGAGTATGAGATGAATTTGTGTTTGTATGTGTGTAGAATACTCTGTGGAATGGCGTGAGGTTCGGCCCATCCAGCTGGCCGTGGCGAGAAAGCTGCTGTCCCATGTTTGTGCTATAGCAGACTCCAGCACACAGAACCTGGACCTTGGCTCCTTTGACAGAGTCAGTTTCCTGATTCTGGTCCCGCCCTCCGAGGTTACATTTCAGCAGACTGTTCTCCATCTCTGGAGCTCCGGTTAGTCCTTTAGATCTTTTGTTAGCAACTGTATTCTTGAATTGCCCTTGTATTTAAAAAATAGAGACACAAGGAAGTGCTTGAATGCATATTTGCCAAACCATGATGTGCTTTGATGTCGCATTAGCTTCTCTGTCTTTGTGTTTCTCAGGTGTCCTTCAGGAGCTTGGGAGTTTAGACCAAGAGTGTGCATCTCAACGCGAGGCAGAACGTTATGTGGTCAAGATGGACCAAAGTGCTCAGGCACGAATTGACACCCTCATCCAGGAAGCACACGGCAACTCGTACACACTCTACATCCTGGTCCACGACCATGCACACTGGGATATTAGCAGGTATGTGTGAGATGGGAAAAGAAAAAAATTATTTTCATTGTTCCATCAGCAAACACAAGAGTACAACAAGAGCAAAGCAAAGCAGTAAAGTATGTTAACTTTACCTCTGTGGCTCTTTCTCCTTTTCTCACTCAGTGCATCCTACAGCAGCTCAGACAGCGGTTTGGGTCTAGTGGACCAACTGTTAAACTCCCGACAGGTCAGAGATTCCACAAACATCCTGATTCTCCACGTCACCTCGTTCCCCTTCGCTCTTCAGACACAGTGCACCCGCATCAGCCCCTACAACGAGATTCACTGGCCATCTGCATTCAGTAACGTAAGACTGAACTCTGTGTGTGATAGAAACTCTCTTTTTATTTTTTTTGTTTGATGCACAATACCGGCACATATCTGCAGACACAAATGACCGATTGTATGTTTGTACTGAAATCAGTTGAATCTTGCACGTTCCTGTAATGTGTGTTTGTGTGTGCAGGATGTGGATCTGTACCATGAGAGGACTCGCTACTTTGGAGTGTCGGAGCTTTTAGAGTCAACCCGTTCAGGGAGCAGCCTCCCTCTGATGCGTTACGATTCCTCCTTTGAAAGCATGGCATCCACTCTGGAAGAGAGGTAGCACATACACACATGCTTAATCTACATGAGCATCGTATGTTTATAAAGTTTTACCTGTAACTGAAGTTTTTATCATCTTGCTATTCCTTGTCTCCAGGTTTCCAAAACTGCACAGTGCTGTGATCCGGACTACAGTTTTGATCCAACACTACTGTGTAGCTCTGATGGCTGTATCTGGCAGAATCAGTGGTTCCCACTATCTCCACAAACACACCTCTGTAGAGACCATGGAAATCATACAATCTCTTCTTACTGCTGCCCAGCAGTGTCCCGCCCATCACGGTCACATGGTCCTGCTGCGGATTCCCTCTTCATCTCTGGCAGTTTGGGCCCACAGACGACTGTCAAGAGTCAGGAGGCAGCTGGGTCTGGAGGAGAGTTTTGAAATCATTCTGGGGAATCCCAACCAAGCTCTGAATATTGGACAGACCTTCACTGAACAGATCAAGGTGGGGTAGTAGTACATAATGTCATAGGTACAGGATAAATTAGTTAATGAATACATGAGCTCACAAGTGGAGAAATAGCAAGACTCCTACATTTTCTGTACTTATGTTTGCATGTATGTCCTGCAGATGTGGTTGAAGATCCAGGATGCTGAGTGGATTCCTCAAACCTACCTGGAGCTGGAGGCCCTTCCATGCATCCTGATCCTGTCAGGGGCAGAGCCACTGGGAGAGTCTCTTCCCAGGTGCACATGCTGACTCCTGATCACAAATTTAAAGATGGGATTTTTGGCCTAAAATATTTTTACCTTTGTTCTCAAACCTCCCTGCACGATAGTTTTACCATCAAGTATTGGTTTTCACTGCTAGATGAAAACCCCCAACCCTGTAGTTTCTGGCAGTAAAATGAAAGAAGCTGTAATAAATGTCATTTGGAATTTAAATGGTGAATTAATTCTACCCACAGGTCACTCAAATACTGTGATCTTCGAGTGATAAGCTGTTCCTACCTGCAGCGGACTACACTTGAACAGGAGCTGGGACTGGCTGCTTATCTAGTGAAGGCTGAGTCACGACCCCCACACAACCCCGGACCAGGAAGTGACCTGCTCGAAAGTGATGCAGAAAAACTCAGCAGCACTGACAACGAGGAGGAGGAAGGACAAGAAAACGGTGAGATAAGACCCACACATCTAGGCTATAATATATACTCAGGCAAAGAAATTTTATTTTTTATCATTTAAAAGCAGATTACAGCTCATATGATCAGTAATTTAAAAAAAAAAAACCTTTGTCACTTCTTCCACCTGTGATTTCTAGGAGACTCTCCCTTGTCGTCCAGCCAGCCGCCCCAGTCGTGCCCAGACAGTGGAGCTCCAGATCCCTTCCCTGCTCAAACTGCCACCTCACCAAATGTCAAGAAAGTGACAATCGACAGCATGCAGTCTCCTTTACAATCACAGACTCAACTTCAGCCCCAGCCATCATCTCAGTCTTTTCATTATCCTCAACCAGCAGGACACCACCAAACCCAACCTCAAGTTCAGAGTCATTCCCAAGCCCAGCCGACCTCCCAGACGCAGACTCAGATTCAGCCGTTATCCCAAACACATTCTCAACCTTACACACAAACGTCCCCCCAGCAGCAAATAGTCCAAAGTCAACCTCAACCGCCGCCTCCTGCTCAGTCTCGTCGCCAACACTCCAAATCCACATCCTCTGGCTCTTTGTCCCCGCAAGCCTCCTCTCCTCATCTGAGCTGTTCCTGGGCACGAGGAGTCAGTCGTCCTCCGTCGGTGCTTCTCCCTCGTGCCCTCCATGATATTATCACAGCAAGTGACGGCAGCGGGCTACCACGATGTACTTCATTCCTGCCGCACATGTCTGTGGCGTGGGCTAGCAGCTTCAGGTAGAGAAAAGATTTATTTTTTCACTCCAGTATTTATAATACATAGAATATAGTAGATTTAAAAGATGATTTACCAGCCACTGTTCCAACACTATGTGGAAAATATACCAGTGGTTCAGTTTCAGGTAGGAAAGGTAGGAATTTTTTTTTAGGATTGTTTTTGCGTTACCTGGCAGTAATGTTTGCATTGCTTCTAACTATGATGATACAAGTCTGTATCTCTGCATTTAGGAATTCACTGATAAATCTGGATCTGATTATAAGTGCAGTCTTTGCATGGCATAGCTGTCACTGTGTCTGTAGCCTTCACTGTGCTTTAGTTGTTATGATCTTGGCTGTGACACATTAGTTAATGGGTGTAACTTTGACTACTTGAAGTAAGAATTATGTGTGCGCAGTGACGGTTGTGCATGGCTGATGCACTGTGTTTAAACTACTGTAGGTCTGAGCTCCTGTGGTGTATTTGTTCCACATCTGTCAAACAAACACTGCAGGTTCAAACAGTAACAGCTGGGCATGTTCATAGCACCACAGAATGACCCACAGCAGCACAAGTCCAAACAATAAACATATTCAGTCACAGCTTCACCTGTCAAAGCCAGGCAAAGCAGCTGCTCTGTGCTCACAGCCAGCAGCTGGATACTGTCAGAGATCAGCCTTTTAAACTGAGTAATGAGCACTGAGTGCATCACATAAAGTGTCTCATAATCTCACCTTCCATTGTAGCTATAAAGTGTTTCTCTGGCATTGCTTAGTAATTAGACTGGACTAGCACCAGTTGTCCATGTGGATCAGATGGAACAAGTGCAGCATAGAATTTTCTCTGTGGGTCTGAGGAAAGTTCAGACGTTACGAGGGAATACAAGAGTACTGCAAGATAACACGAAACTTGACAAATATAATGCGAAAAAAATCCCCCCAAAAATTCCTATCATGACCTTCCAGGAGGCTCCGTAGTAAAGGTTTGAACAGAAAAACTATCAGAATCTAACTCAGATGTTTTATGCGTGAGGAGTCTTAGCTGAATTTTGATTCTGTTTTGTGAGTACAAAACCTTATGTAAATGTGTCTGAGGAAGTTAAAAATCTGAGTAAGATAAATGTAATCATGAACCACGTCTCCTTTCTGCAGGCCTCTGCTGAGTAAAATGATGACATGTACAGAGCAGTCCCTCTATTATCGTCAGTGGACGGTCCCACGCTCCTACCACATGGACACCAGTAATCGCACTGAAGGACGAAATGACAACTTTCATCCTCGTAGGTTGCTGCTCAGTGGACCCCCGCAGGTATTTCCTGTCTGTCTGTCTTTCTCTTATACAAGCTCATCTTTTACTGTTACTTACATTATTTTGCCTTTTTGTTATTTTCCACAACCAGGTGGGTAAAACGGGAGCGTATCTACACTTCCTGGGTATTCTGTCTCGGATGCTGATCAGGCTGATGGAGGTGGATATCTACGATGAAGAAGACATCAACTTCAGTCAGTATATTTGTAGTAGAATCCACCAATCCAATCCAATTATGGAAACTGGAGTTTATATAACACTTCTGTTTGTTTTCTTTATTTTCGACTTTTTACCCAACCTTTATCAAATTTTCAACATGGCAGTTATTGCTGCTGTCTCGACCATGTGATTGTTCATAGTGCTGTAAGCTAATGTGTGATGCATACCTTTTTATTGTATTGTGTGTTCAGTTGCCCAGACAGAGGGGGTGCAGTACCACCCACCCAATGCTCCCTGGCCCAGCCCAGACATTGTGAAGACAATTCCCTTTGACTACAACATCCATGACCCTAAATATGACGACATCAGCAGTGTGTATTGCCCCGGATATAAACCCAGTGCTGAGGGTGAGCACAGTCAGAAAAGTTCTGATCTTTCCTTTGAAATTACCTGTGTGTTCTGCTGTAGTCCTAATCAATCTTTCCTCCGTTGTCTTCTCAAGGAAACCCTGTGCGCCAGGAGGACGTGTACCTCCGTAGACGGACATCTAGGATTAAGCTGTCTAAATATGCAGCCTACAACACCTATCACCACTGTGAACAGTGTCATCAGTACTTGGGTTTCAACCCCAGATACCAGGTCAGCACCGTACATGCAAACACACTGTGTAAGAAATGACGCTCAAACTGCTTTGGGAGTGTAAATGTGACCGTCGTCTCTGATCACAACTTAGATGTATGAGTCAACGCTCCATGCCTTCACATTCACCCATCTGCTGCTCGGGGAGGAGATCCAGCTCTACTTCATCATTCCAAAGTCCAAAGAGCACTACTTCAGCTTCAGCCAACCAGGAGGCCAACTGGAGAGCATGCGCCTGCCTCTCACGTCTGATTGGGTATGTCCTCCTCACTAAATCATGAACAACTAAGTTTCAACTATTAGCGTTTCCATGTTCTCTGTGACATTTTTCCAGAGTGACTAAGCTGCTGGACAAGCTCACATTTTCCAATATCAACCCGCCAACAATTACCAAGGATATCAGTAGCTCATGACGATCAGAGTCTCGCCACCCTCAAAGTAAATGATTTCTGTGCCTATTTATCTTGTGTCATTGAGAATAAGTGTAAGAAATCAGAATTAAGTCTGCATTATGTGTGTCTCGGTTTTAGGTTCACCCCCTCCAGCGAAAATCAAGTCTGTGTATCTTGTTAACGTGTCTGTATGGTGATTTTTGTATGCTTCTAGACAAATAAACAGTCAATGCCAAACTGCAGCGTACTGGGTACAGTCTGTAAAAACACAGCTTTAGCTCTTTGGGGGTTTCATACAAAGCAACCCTTGGAACCGATCCCATCAACTTACAGGTATTATAGCTCGTCAACGTGTAGCGTAGAGTTAACTGTGAGAAATGTAGGCATATTCTAGATGAAGCAGTTGTGTAGAGGAGTTACATCTAACCCATCTGAAGGTAGAACAGGATTATTTTCATTAAATAAACTTGATTTGACACAGAGGTTAGTTTTAGTGATTTAATCAGTGACGGCAAAGGGAATTTGAAACCTTTCTTGCTATTTTGCATCCGCTTCACTGCTGCAGTTAGCCAAGATGATCGATCAATCATTGGGCTTAAATTCATTGCAGCCCAGAAGGCAGTACTAATTAAATCATGGATATCAGTTATTATTGTGTTTCTGCTGAGCTTTTGTATAAACTGTATTGTGTCAACCTTAAAGTGATGATTTGCTGTGCTGGGCATACTGCAGTACCATGGTTGCTCCACTAGGTGGCATAATTGGTCAAACTATGGTTCAAACTGCACTGACAGCCCAGCAGTTCTTATTTACTTTCAGAAGAAATATACACACAGAACATTCCTGTTTGAGAAGATAATATTTGTGTTGAATTAGTATAATACCAGAACATTTTGGCTCCCATCAGCCAGGCATTCTCTGGCTATCATATTGTCTTTCTTTGGCAGGCGCTTCCTAAATCATGGGTCCTTATTAAGCCTCTGGGCTGTCCTGCTTTGGAAACTGCATGAAACACCTAAATGTGTATCAGTATTTTATATCACTTACACGAAGAAGATAAGCTTTTATTCATTGTTTTTCTTCCACTTTCACAGAACCCAGACTGCATCAAGAGTCCAATCTTCACCCCAACCACAGGTCGCCACGAGCACGGCCTGTTTAACCTTTATCATGCTATGGATGGAGCCTCACATCTCCACATCCTGGTGGTCAAAGAGTATGAGATGGCCGTCTACAAAAAGTACTGGCCCAACCACATCATGCTGGTCCTGCCCACTGTCTTCAATGGAGCTGGAATAGGTCTGTTACTGCTGCTGTTAATAAGTATGTAGGCCTTTTTAAATTCATGACATTTTTATTACAGGCTTAAACTGGCATACAGTCATCCTTAAATGTATTCATACCCTCCCATTAAAGAAGGAAAAAAACAGCCGTCACTGAAATGAGTTGAGATTGACAAAAGTAATAATACGTTTTTAAAAAAAAAATGAAAATCATTATATTGCTTTTGAATTGTGGTTCAACAGAAACATCTGGGGGGAAAAAACAAGCATGATGGGACCCGTAAACTAATATTTTGTTGAACAACCCTTTGAGCCAATCACTGCCATCAAGTGTTTTCTGTAACTCTCAGTCAGACTTCTGCACCTGTTGACATATATTTGGATTTTGGCCCACTGCTCATCAGCAAAGTGCTCTAATTTTTTTTTTTTTTTTTATTCTTTTCAACCACAATTCAAAAGCAGTGCCTTATTTCACTAAATTATAATTTAGCAAATTTTTATTTATTATTACTTTTTTCAGTTTCTAGCTATTTGAGTGACTACTGAGAATTTTACCTTTTCTTTAATAGAAGGGTCTGAATACATTTGAGGACAACTGTATTAATAATAACTGTTCTTCTTCATAGTCTCATTAATAACCAACTCCTTATGCTTATGCAGGTGCTGCTCACTTCCTGATTAAGGAGCTTTCGTATCACAACTTGGAGCTGGAACGCAGTCGGCGTGTGGAGGGAGGAGGTCCAGCGGGCGACGTCTGGCCCTTCATCATCCTGGCTGATGACTCGTGTGTTATGTGGAACGCAGTGGACCTCGACTCGCGCAGGTAAATACTGACGCATTATTTACAGTAAATCAGTTTATGTTTATGTGTAAAGGACAAAAGTTCTTGTATGAGAAGCAAGAATGTGGTATGTAATCACTTTGGGAGCTAAGTGCAAATCTTTCATTTTTTACTGTCGTTAGTGGTCCAGTGGAGCACGCCGTGTCGCTGAAACAGGTCTTACAGCACATGGAGGCCTGTCCAGACCTAGCTCACTATGGCGTTTGTGGCATCAGGAAGTGGAGCAGCCGTGGTCCTCCAGGTGAGTGGAAGGCAAAGCAACAGTTCTGCAGAATAGCTTTCTTTCTTTGTGAATAAAATATAGATAAAAGCATATTTTGACCCCAGGGCAGAATATCAGCAACATCTTACAGAACAACAAACTAGAGCCTCAAAAACAGAAAACAATACTGACTGTAATCACATGCACAGTCTTAATAAACAAATACCGTCTCTTGAGCTTCACTAACTTTTAGACTACACAGAATACTACCAAACATTTAGCTGTTACAGTGATGAATAGTTCTGACTTTAAAAGCTTTGGGCACTTTGTACTTGATGCCTCAGATCTCAGCTTGTTATGTCTTCATGGACTTGTTTACCTTTTAGATTTTACAGATATTTTTGATATGCAGGTATGTCTCTTTATCTTTCATCAGAAACTGTACTGTCAGACAGGATTTACAGAGAGTATTTGACTGTAAATATTTTCTGTTTTGATACTCAATTACACCAGATGAGATTGCATAAATGTATAATTTTGTGTAATAAAGTGTGATGTAAAGAAACTTCTTTGTCTGATGCATAAAATCGTTCTGCCTTTGTTTTTTCTTTTCCTGAACCAGGTAATAAACAGCGAGAGCCCTTCTCCAGAGGTCACCTTCATGACTTCCTTCTCCTCAATGTCGACCGGAGCCAGAACGTCCAGTACGACCAGAACCGCTTCACCTGCCACGACGTGGACTTCACCCTGAGGCTGCACAGTGCCGGGCTGCTCGTCTGCAGATTCAACAGCTTCAGTGTCATGAAGAAGCAGATCGCCATCGGAGGATACAGAACATTCATTATCAAGACCAAGGTAGATGCTAAAGAAGTATGAGAATGACACATTAGTCACATTAAAAGCACATTTTAGGAATGCTTCATGTTCATTAGTACTTAATAGTCAGTTGCATATCATAAAACACAACCTCAGCAGCAACACAGGGCCAAATCCATCCATCCATTATCTATACACCGCTTAATCCTCATTAGGGTTGTTGGGGGGCTGGAGTCTATCCCAGCTGACTTAGGGTGAAGGCAGGAGACACCCTGGACAGGTCACCAGTCTGTCACAGGGCACAGAGACAAACAACCAAGCACACTCACATTCACACCTACGTACAATTTAGAATCACCAATTAACCTCAACATGTTTTTGAACCTTGTGGGAGGAAGCTGGAGAACCCAGAGAGAACCCACTATGCACGAGGAGAACATGCAACCCCATGCAGAAAGATCCCGGTGCCCCCACCAACTGTGCCACCTTGCAGAACACAGGGCCAAATGATTGTGTAAATTTAGATAAAACACAATGCAGTGAAAATGTTTTTCAAGCATTTCACTGCTGTGCAGACCTTCTGTCTCCCCTTGTGGCGGTGAGAGTAATTACACAAACACTGTTGACACGTGCTTAAGATACATGCCTTGCTGTCAGTTCCTTTCTTCTTTAGACTGTAATCCATCCTCTGAAAGTTGAATTTTCTTATTTCTTGGCACATTAGAAACTTTTCCTGGATGCTTCTAGATTTTTCTCCTACTTGCTGTAGATCTCTCTGTCATGAATTGTGAATCAACAGATTTTTGTTATGGGATAGATAACGACAGATGTTTTATTGTAGTTACTATAAGTTTTCAAAACTACAAGCACATTAAAAAAGTATAGATTTGGGCCAGAAAGTGGGAAGCGTGACTGCTGTATTGCTCTTTTAATCTTGAGTGGTTTATTAAATATTGTGTTAAATGACAAAATAAGGAAAAACCTGTGACTGACATGAGCACCCATTAATGCATAGGACCATGTAACTAATCCTAAAAATGTTCTCCAGATGACAGATGTTCCAACATCAGTGGGGCCCTCACAATACATCTGTGCCCCAGACAGCAAGCACCTTTTCTTGGCTACACCGGCACAGCTCCTCCTGGAGAAATACCTCCAGCACACCAGCCAGAAGCTGTTTCCACTCAGCACCAAGAACTACACACACCCTGTGCTGTCTGTGGACTGTTATCTCAACCTGGGACCTGAGGTACACACACAGGAAGCTGAATTGTCACATGGTTTCATTAAAACAAAAGAGATGGACACAGACTTACAGCCTCTTTGTTTGTGGTAAACATGCAGCGTATAAAGTCCCACTCTTCTTGCCTTCTGCAGGTGACGGTGTGTTTTGTGAGTTCCAGACCTCACTCCATCAACATCAGCACCGCAGGGCTGCTGTTCAGTGGACTTCTCCTCTGTTTTGCCGATGCCTTTGTGACTCCTGCGTTCCTGAAGAAGTTCAGCTTTCTTAAAGGTACAACAATAAAAACGTCACTCATACGAAATAATCGGATTAAGAAGATGTTAAAGAGCTGCACTGAGCAGACTTTACATGAGAGTTAAGGTACTCTGGATATCTGAAAGTCCTACATTTAGCATTTTAGTAACAAAAATAATTGAATACATGACTGTGCTGTGGCTGACTGACCAATGGCACTAGCGTCTAACTAGTCCAATGCCCCTCTGTTTGTCTACTGTCCTACAAATATAGTTTTAAAAAAACGGTTCCAGACTCACTGTGGCTAAGTAGCATAAGTACTGATAGATAAAGCCTAGAGGTTGGCCTCTCACACGATTTGACAGGAAGGTCCTTTAATTGTTTTGTGGCACTAATGAACATTTTATGAAGTAGCACAAAACAAACAACAGAACACTAGCTTTAAAAACAATCAGACAGAGGTTTTCAGTGCCCCTCACTTTTAGATATTGTATAGCTTTACAGGGAACGGAACAAAAAAGAATCAAGACCAATCTCCTCTGTGACAGGAAGGTTTGATTTCCACGTCATAGTTACAGTGTCTATCCCTCCTGTAGGAGCAACTCTGTGTGTTATCAGTGCAGATCGTAGCTCGCTGAGGCAGACGGTCGGCAGGCTGGAGCTGGAGGAGGAGTGGAGGTTCAGGCTCAGCGACGAATTCCAGACCGCCAACGCCAAAGAGGACCGACCGCTCTTCTTCCTGACCGGAAAACATATTTGACTGAAACAGGAATACGCTATGGACTGCAAAGAGTCGCAGCCAGGACTGAAATCACTTGCCAAAGAGAAGAAACGCACTACCGTGTGTGTTTTTGTTTTTGTTTTTGTTTTTGTAGCATGACAGTTCGCACTAACACGTGCTGCGAACGGACATTGCAGGCTATAAAAGGACACACTATCCATGTTACCAAAACCTACGAGACCTTCTGGAAGAGTGGAAGGAATATGAAACACTGTTTATTACCCATCACTGCACACACATGCTCGAATAGGATTTAGAGGTGAGATCCAATGAGAAAGTTTTTCAGCGAACATGAAATCCTGCTCCACAAAACCCCTGAATGTTCATGAAAGGCTAATAACGAGAAATTCCAGATAATAAATAGCCATCATCTGATTGTATAGTTGTATTTGAATAAAAGCAGATGTAAGCAAAAAAAAAAAAAAAAAGATTAATTCAATATGTTTTTTACCATTTAAAGACATTCTCTACAGGTGCTACTTTTCAGTTACTCAATACGCGTTTGCAGGTTTATTTCTTATTGCAGTATCAGTGTTCGGACTTCTTTGCAGGTGCACACAAGACAAGGGGCTTTGAAAAAGGGGAGACACAATCATTTATGTGGAATGATGCTGGTTTTTGGCAACATTTTCACATTATTATAGGATGATTTTTGTAGAGGCTTGTTTTGCATGTATGTTTTTACGTCTAAAATATTTTGAATTATATTTTGTCAAATTTACATTATGTATAAAAAGTACTTATTTTTAGTGTGTACAAGAAAATAATTGCAGCTGTTTGGATGTGGAACATTTTTTTAATGTGTTGTGCTCCTGTACAAAGATTTTATTTGTACCTGTCGGAGGAAGATGAAACCACTTTGTACTGGCAGCGTTTTACAATGTACAGTTTTGTATGCCTATAATTGTATAAATGTACAGACAATTTAAAATTACTCATGTGTGAGTGTTTGAATGTGAAGCTGAAGAATCATCCATCCATCCATTATCTTTACACCGCTTAATCCTCACTAGGGTCATGGGGGGCTGGAGTCTATCCCAGCTGACAGGGTGAAGGCAGGAGACACCCTGGACAGGTCACCAGTCCATCGCAGGGCCACACTTAGAGACAGACAACCAAGAACACTCACATTCACACCTACAGACAATTTAGAATCTCCAATTAACCTCAACATGATTTTGGACTGTGTGGGAGGAAGCCGGAGAACCCGGAGAGAACCCACGCTGCACGGGGAGAACATGCAAACTCCACAGAAAGATTCCAGTGCCCCCACCAGGACGCGAACCGGAGACCTTCTTGCTGCGAGGCAACAGTGCTACCAACTGCGCCAGCTGAAGAATCAAAGAGGCTGAAAAAGTGTATTGTCTCTATGAGGCAGACCTGAGCTTTGTAGCATCTGGGTGATCAGGAAGGGTTTGATACTGTAAAGTGGATACTGATCCTTCAACGTCCAGCTCTCAGCTAGCGAGCAGAGTATCACAAGGACAGGGAGTCAAGTGGGGAAACTTGATCTTTCGATGACAGGCCACACTACTGCCCTCGCTCGCTCCTTCTATCCTCACATGGACGTACTGTGGCGTCCGAGTGTGCATGTGAAACTCAAGGGGACTTCAGGACTTGTTTAATGGTACCTTCTGGCAGACTAACTGCTTCACACACAATAAAACACAAACACATAAATATAAGCACACATAGTGGGAAGGGAACGCTAGTGTTCAAGCAACAGATCTGCATCCGAAGCAGCAGGATGAGATCAGCACCTCTGAACCCTCTCAGATTTCCTCCAAGTACTCCTTTCCCAGAACACACTTGTTGGTAAATTTAGTCTAAAACACTCTCTGCGTATCATACTAGCTGTTCACTCAAAACAACCCCAGAGATTTAAGAGTACCAACTCACCCAGAACCACCTAGAAGAGCTTTCCTACTACCTTGAGGAGATTTAATCAGACAGCAAAGACACAGCAGACGTTATAGAAAGCTGACTAGGACATCGTCAACAACCAGCAGACGGCTTTTTGACACATCGAACCTCTCACGGGACTCAACTGTTCCCTTTCGCAGCAGTTTTTTCTGCAGAAGTTTACGATTGTGAATCATGCGTCATAGAGCCATGACCTGCATGGAAGAGCAAGACTTCAGCAGCCACAGTGGGGATGAGAGCCCAGATGACAGCTGGTCCTGGGTAACGACGATAAAATATTAATATATGTACCATGTAGTTGCATGAGGACAAGGGAGCAATACATTGTGGAATGCTTGTACTGAGTTGTGTCTTGTACTTTGGATTTGTGTTTAACCCTCACATACTGTTCATATTTTATGCCTTCACAGTATGGTCCGAGTCAAAATCGACCCGAACCATACTGTGAAAAATTCCCTCATAGTAAGGCTTCATCAGAACTAATGAAGCCTCTTGGATGAGAGGTGAAACGTCTTCAACGAACTCAAGCAAGTACAGTTGCTACGATTAATCTACGAGAATAATCATGACCTGGATGACTGAGAATCTTCACAGACACCCTCATAGTAAGGGTCTATATCAAATTATAAGCTACAGATCTATTTAGAATGTCTAAATAGTGTGTGTCACATGAATAAATGTAAATAAAAAATACACATGAAGCATGGCCTTTACAGTTTCAAGATTCCCTAAAACCACCATTTTCCTTGATCTGACCCACACTGCCAGATCTAAAATCCATCCTAATGGATATACGGGTCAAATTTGACCTGGAACAGCCTCAGTGTACAAAAATTTGTAGCACCTGTACAAAAAAACGTTTTTATTTTTGTGTGTTTTGGGTCATTTTCAAAAAAGTCGTCAAATTTCAGGTTAAATCAATGACTTTAAGGGTATTTTTACCCCTGTTAAATGTCAAAATGTGTCAAATTGAAACAGTATGTAAGGGTTAAACCAGCAAAAAGACACTAAAAATGTCTATAGCACTAATAACCAATGACAAAGTAGACCTGGACTGCTCACAATTGTAGGTAAACATATGGGAATTACTGGGTTAAACTGTTATATAACAGCTACTATGGTTAATGGGCAGACATGAGAGTAGTATTGATCTTTACATGTGACTCTGGGCCAGAAAGTACATTCCTGTGAGGCTGTAATTAGCAGAAAAGAAGTGCCGCACTAGGCTCTCCCGATGATCTACCTTAATTCATTTATCATTCACCAGATCGGCTGCTTGTCTTTGAATTTCAATACAAGCCTCTTTAGGAGTGAGGGGAAGAAAACCGTAAACACAGACACAGATTTGGCTTTTGTGTTGCTCTCAGGTATTTCATTCATTACAATACATGTGGCCATGTGCTTAGTTTGCTATGTGGTGATATTTGCTCTTTGCATTAATGAGCTCTGCTTGTACATGCATACTATAGGTGTGTCTCTTTGTATGTTTGCAGTGTGTGTGTGTGTGTGTGAGAGAGATGTGATATGTTTTCGACCACCCTGCGGCATTACCTCAGGCCAGACACGTGAGAGGCACATTGAGGGAGAGAGGAAGGAAGAAGGCGGTTTGCTGAGACAGGGGGTTGCCTGGTTTCTCCCAGGCGCTCCCTCTGAGGTCGACAATGCATTCATTTCATCACCACGGAGACGGGGGTGTCGTTTAGGGGGGGATGGGCTGTTTGAGCCAATCACAGAGCAGCTCCAGCCACACACCACAGTTGAACTGCTGAGCCTGACCCCGCTGCAGACACGTTACAGGGCTTTAGAAAAAAATCTGATTAGTTCAGTTTCCAGGGCCAGACGCTGCCAGTTAAAGCCGCAGCCACCGATCCTGTTTTCACCTCAACGACAACAACAATATTTAGCATAGGTTGGTACAAATATCTGCTCAAGGATTTATGAGTAAAAGAGCAACAGGGATGTCTGTCATTCAGTGTTATCATCTGACCATAAAAAAATGACTTTTCCTCTAAACTGTACCTTTATCTTAATAAGTAAAAAACAAACAAACTGCTGCTGGCTGACTAACTGGAGCAGACACATGTAAATAATCCCCTTTAATATTGTCATGTAGGTGTCAGATTCCAAAGCATATTACCATCATAAATAATATGCAGCTGTACGGTACATGCAGGCATTGTGTTATAGCCTTTTTAGGAATGTGCAGCAGTCAGTCATTAAAATTAGCAATAAATTATATGCATTATTCTCCTTAGAAACACTGATGTCTATTTAAATTTTAGATAGCAACACATTTAAATAATATGAATAGTTAACATGTTTCTGGATATGTTTACACTCAGTTGCATAAAGGCCTAAAAAGCGAGTTTTACATGAAGTTTTACAAGGTTTGGGTTTGTTTAACCTCTTAAGACCTGGAGTCCACACATGGTCACATTTTGGGTTGTAATACCACAGTAGTTAATTTTATTTATTTTTAAAAAAAAATTTTGTATTATTTATTCATTTTTTTTTATTGTTATTTTAAAAAAATATTTTAAATTATTTTTTATTGTTATTTATTTATTTAAATTTTTTATACATATGTATTTTTAAGTATATTTTTATTTTCTTTATATTTTTTATATTTTTTATTTATTTTCTAAAAAAAAAATGCATATCAAACAAGAGCTCGGGTCTTAAGAGGTCAAGTTTGGATTGTCCAGATGTATATCGATCATGTATTAATATTACACTTTCTTCCCCTTTAAAAACCTTTAAACCTATGCAGCCATAAATGCTATACATACCACAGCATCAAAATAACAATAGTCCTCAATTAAAGATTAACTTAAGGCAGATATGATGTAGCCTAAAGGAGGAGGACAAAGTGTGTAGGTGTTGCCTGAGCACATGGAGCCGCTCGCTGGGCCCCGGCATGGTGGTGATGTTATATAATATGTCATGTAGCTTCGCTCTCCGTGGTGTAATATGCCTTTATAAGTACCGATGTGGGCCTCGGGTCAAGCACATGGTCCTCCTGCACACACAGACAAAAGTTGTCTTTCTCACTCTGCTGAAACAGTATATGCGTGGCACTCCCAAATGCATACACACATACACAGAGTGAACATGTAAACAGGTTTTCTTGGAAAGAAACTGGAGGATTTCTGACAGGTCAAGGGGTCGCATTCACCTCTCCCTCTCTTCATCTGCACACAGGCCTTCATGTCAAAGTTTTATAGTCACGGATGAGTCGTGTTACACTTGGAGTTATTCTTCTCTTCATTTTTATTTAGAAATGATTCCAACTTTTCATGTTTTCATGCATGTAAACACAGCCACAAGCTTCAGTTTTTGTACATTTCAGTGTTGATTGGTGAGGTTTAGACGTGCCAGCTGGTAGATTTTGTGATCGCTTAATTCATTTAGTTAGATTTTACCGCATTTGCTTTTACCGCACCATCGTTGCACTGTAAGCTTCAGTAAACACCTGGCCCAGTGGTCACCCCACATACTG